ACTCTGTCTCCACTTGTTAATACATCTGCTCGTCCATCCACATATATACACTCGCGCACAGGGAACTGGATTTTACCATGACGCTCCCATTTCACCTTCCTTTTATAAATCATTTTTCGTCTGTTATTGCTGCGTTCCAGTCTTTTGTTCACTCTGCGAAGTTATGAGTGAATTTGAATTTGCAGAATATAAAATCATAAAATCGAGAAACCAATCCAATTCAAACACGATTGTCATTGTTTAGTGATGTAATCACATTGTTTCATAGTAACAAACACAAAGTGAATTTTAATTAAACGTTGACTTATGTATCTAAAATGTGACATTGTTTATTATATGTCATAATTTACTATACACAACGCAACATTTTAGTACCGGCGAAACCTTTAAATTTTTGTTTTAAAATGTTTTCATATTGAATTTATTGGTCGTCTTCACACAGGTAGATTTTGGGATCTCCTGGTTTTCATTATATATTAAATAGAACAAGGAGACAAAATTCCTTGCATACCTGTCTAGTTTTTCTTATTTTTAGAGTGGACAAACATAGGTTTGCTACCTTATAAAAAGAAACCTGAGCTTAAAAGGGCAAATAAATAAGAAAACTTAAACGTGTTTTCTTCTTAATGATATGGCAAAACATGGTAAATTCCTGTCTTTTTATTTTTTTGCATGAATAACTTAAAAGGTTGTTGTATTTAGAACCTTGAATGAAATTTCTGCTGTGTAACTGAAATTCTTAAATATTTAAAACCAACGAAGTACGAGATGGATTCTCTAGTTAACTAATGACTATGAATGTTATTCTTAATTTGTTTCATAAATATGTTTTCGAAGGAGATTACTATTTTATGGAAATGCAACCTGTGTGTGTGAGTTTGTATATCCTCCGAATAAAGAAATGTCCGACTTTTTAGAAATTGTGCAAAAAAAATAATGTTTTTGATTTATTCATGGAACCATGTTTTTCATATTTATAACAGTTGTCTTCAATGGAATATATAGTAACAGCTTTAGTATGGCGACATTTTGAGTCACATTATTCCCTTATTTCGTATCGCTCATTCTACTTGTTGCTGCTAAATCGTAAATGTGTCTGGTCGCTAAGTAACAAGATTTATTATAATACGTAAAGAAATGTGTATGTCGTTTAATGTAAACTGTGTGTGGTTCTATTTTTTTGTGTTTAGAAAATGATTTTAATGATAAGGGCGACACAGTATATTTCTTTCACTCTCTTTTATATATCATTTAAGAGCTGTTCTGTTAATATTCTGTTATTATTAAGATTGTTTACGTAATTTATTCCACGTACAATATTAATATGAACGTAAGTTTCAAACTTATTAAAGATGTGTTATAAAAATAAAAAACTTAGTTATTTTAAATAGTATATTTTTAAGATTCTTCCTTGTTAATAAAGGGTAATTATCTTCATTGACCCTGTAAATATTCATCAAATATAAGATAAAAGTTGTAACAAATATAACATTTGTGGCCCACTGCCTTCATTGGTATGTCTCCCGCAATAAATTTTAAACCAGTAGACGGATTTTCATGAAACTGGTTATGAACTTCATACCATTACAGTCCACCGCTCGTGTATGTTCTTTAATTTATCAGTAACATATTGATTATTCCAAATATGTTTTTCTGCGTGTGGAGTTAACCTTCATATAAGAATTTTGGGTAAAATGATGTCTTGAGTCGATTACTGTTATACTCCTTAATGATTACTAGAGTCAGTTTCATCGACATCTGAATTATAATATAAAAATTCCGGACGCACGTAGTTTAGCCCCAAATCACGAGCCGTACTTTTTGGCAGTGATTCAACGGAAGGTCTGGTGATGGAATCAATCCGTCATGTGACCGGGTTCGCTCTGATATTCTTGTAATTGGACTGGTTCATGTTGGCGGCTGTAAGGGTCAACTGGCGGAACAGATGTCTTGATGCAGAAGTAGGTCACACTTCATCATCACACACTTCTTCAGACACAGGCTGATAATTACGTATTGCAGCATTTCGTCATGTCTTTTATTTTCTTATAGAGCTTTGGTTGTGGTACGGACTGAATTATTTAATTTTATTTAGACGATTTTTGGCATACTAAAGTGTTAATACTGAAGTCACTTAAGTGCTGGAACAATTAAAAATTTTATAAACCGATAAATGGATTCGATATCGATATGAAATTTAATATCGATTGTCATATCTAATATTAACTTGAAAATCTGGTTTCTGTGCATGTTCTGTTGAATTTATTTACAAAAACGTCAGTGAACTAGACAGAGCGCGTCCAGTATCGTAGAAGGAGGGGGAAAAGGACGAGTGTCGTCGACTGCGAACGTACGTAAGTAGGCGATTTGGCTCGGCGCGTACCTCGGTCTGGCTGTGGACCTGGAGGTTGAGGACCTAGAAGTCCCATACATGGGTCACGAAACTTAACAGTCCCTGAACGACTGTTTCAATAAACATACAATTAAATATACTGTAATTTTGAATTTTATCAACAAACAATGTGAAGTCGAGGAGAAATATGTGCTGAGTGTAAAATTTCGGCTTTCGGAGATTATCGACATCGAATATTAAATATTAACTACCGTTTTACATACTGAGGTTGAATATCTACCGAAAATTTGGATGATTTTCACTTGGTTTTATTCCTTATTATTTATTTTTCTGATAAACTGCAAATGTTTAACAAATTGACCGGACAAATCTAACCCACGTTGTTATTCTCGGTTGCGACACTATCTGGAATCCTAGGTAGGTACCAACGTTTCGAAAGAAAATACTGTCTCCATCTTCAGGGCCACATAGCGTCACAACCATTATGGACATCTTTACTGACGTTAGCATCTCAAATCCGAAATGAGACTGGTCACTGACATAAGCTGAGACTAGAGCATTAATCATTTTCATATTTCCTTGTAAATATATTTAGGTTTGTGGTATGATAAATTGATTTGCTGTTGTGAACTTTACTTTTATGATTCCGTATTTTGAAATCCTGACACTAAGCAATCCGTGTTATATTATTGCTGTTTATAAAAACGACATAGTCCACAATTTATATAAAAACTATGATCGATGTGGAATTGTTATTCTGACAAAAGTTTTTCATGGTTTGTATCAGTCTCTCCTGGCTTATACTGGGCTTCATGTACGCATCTGTTACATTGATATGATACCTGTAGGTAAATACCACCCTACGATTGGTTGGTTGTTTGGTATAATAATTAAATGGATTTCTGATTAAAAGCTCCTTGTTTTGCGGCGTCAGAGAACACGCAGAAGTGAATATGTTTATAGAATATATCCCATGTGATTTATATGGTCTACGTGTATTTTTGGATCATCCTCACAGCTGTGAAAACCCCATGTTGCGTTTAGATTACTTTGGTCACCCCTGTTTCAAGTTATCAAATAGTGTAGTAAGTCAGTGGCGTGAATACGCTACTGGTAGTGTGTAATTCGACTGGCTGGCCGCTTGTAGCCATACTGTCTGGTCTTGAGAAATATTCTTTAGAACAGTTAAAAGCTGGTTACTTATTGCATGCCCGCCTTAAGCGATATTTTTCTCCCCTCCCACTGGTCCCCCCTCTGTTACCCCTCTTCTACCAACACTCCCCTCACTGCTCTAATTCCCCTAACGTACTACGTTATAACTTACTTGGCCTACTCCATCCAAAGCGGACTTAAATGTCCAGCTTTTCATTTCACGATTAGTGTTCAATAGGACAGCAGATCTAGTGTAATTTTCCCCACAGAAGGGGCTTTATTTCAGACTTGACGACAAAAGAGGAACGTACGTCTATTTGTGATTTAATATGAGCAATGATCCTGTGAACATATTTGTATGATGTATTTGCTGCCATCAGGTTTATGACTAATCTCCCTGATGATGGAGGTAGTAAGCACATCTGAAACGTAAACGTCTACCAGACTGCACCACGCAGAAACCTGAAAGACATTCTTCATACTCCCCGCCATGAGAACCTGATATTTCACATAATTATATAAGACTAGGTATGAAGGTGGTACTACTGGAGTCTTGTCGAAATCGTGTTTATTGAATTTTTAATTTCCATGCACGGAAACCTTGAGAAAGTACACTTTTTATTCTCGTACGAAGGACAAATCGTCTTAGGTACTGTTGTACCTAAAGTGCAGTGTTTAGACTACCCGTCGCACAGGTATGTCACAAGAGTTGCCGTACTGAAACTCTAGACGAAGTAACAGACATGGATTCCTTGTTCGATAATTACAAATCGAAATTACAACGAATGACCGTCAGTATTTCCCCCGAGTGTATCTCGACAGAAATAGAACTTTGTACAGCCCACAAAAAATATCTAGCAAAACTTCATGGTAACTTTGGTGTAATGAATTACATGTATGTTATCTTATATAACTATGTTTTAACGATGATCTATTTAAAAAATGACAAATATGTTTCGGCGCTGGCGACCATCATCAGGCGTTTCAAATAGTGTATATTGGAGGCCTTCAACCTTTCTGGTACCGCAGAACTCCCCTCCCCCTCAAATCCAAAAATATCTCATACATTTTGATTGAACATGATATTGATTAACCAAAATATAAATAGAATAATTCATGTTTTCTGCTGCAATGTAACAGTAAAAACTTACAGCAACACAGCATGAATATAAAATAAAGGTCAGAATCTGCTCAGATCTCGGATACGTTAAGTTCATCTTGTGGACCTCCGGTTGAAAAACTCTAACCTATATGTCATATAGTCATTATGTAATTATGTTATCTAGACTGTGCCACGAATATAAACTGTCGGTGAATGTATGAAAGTAAAATACAGTTGAGTAGTCAAAAGTTAATAAAATATTTGAAAGTTCCTTTCCTATTCTTAAATGGTACATACGTGACTTTTTGAATGTCATATTCGACTTGTAATATAATTTAACTTGATTATTGCTTTGTGAAATAGTTTTGGTAATGTCTTCTGCATCTATTCCAGACAAACAGCTATAGTGCAACTGTCAGTTCCCGGCTTCTGGCCTGAACTGCATGACTCACCACCACCCGGCGCTAACAGCGACTGCCGCTAAAATTATTCACACAACAGAGCAGCTGTGTAATATCGTGTAAGTACTGCTTATTGTTGTGCGTAGATATGATTTGATGTATTGTTGAACAGCGTGCTTTTCTGTATGAATCGTTTGTTGAATGCTGTCATAAATTTCCCAGAATAACAATTTTAAGCACAATAGGCATCCATAAACTTCGTCGGGTATACTGTCATTTCTAGACAAGAATCCTGCTAGATAACACTGTATGCTTATTGAAGAAGAACTAGGCGATGTAGGGACTAGGTTAGAACACACCATAGAAATCACTGAGACGCCAAATTGTAAATGGCTGCCGAAGTCCCCGACTGGGATTCTCCACGCGGAAAATCCCCAATCTTTGATCTTTTACAATCCCTGGGTACTTTCGGGCTCCATATTCCGTATTCTGCCACTTCGTACGCAGAAACGTCAAGTGATTGGTATTTGCCCAGTTGATATGGCCGAGACAAATGTTCTTAAAATTCCCAAATATCAGATTTAATGCAAATCATTTCGGTCGTTCTAGATTTGTTATATGCGTACAGACGGACGAACGGACGGACGGACGGACAGACAGACAGACAGATATTATTAGGTACTCCGCTTGTTTTCAAACTGACTAAAAATTGTGATGAATGCAGATGTTTACCATTAGTTTTAGGAATGTAGCCCAGAATAATCTGAAGTTTTTAAAAATTTTAGTTTGACAATCAGTGAAGCGTGTTTCAATATCTCGACATTTAATTCATCTTTTAATTACGTTTTCATAACCTGAAAAGATTTTAGTATACATTATTTTTAAGATACATTTTAATATTATTTTCCCATCAATGCCTTGGTCTTGCAAGTGGTCTCTCTCCTTCAGGTTTTGCAACTAAAATTGTGTTTTTATTTATTTATCTCGGATGCCTGTACCAGAAATTATTAAGTCAAAGAGAGTGTTCAGAGGAGCCATTAACCCTGGGTATGCATGTGATATTTCTTAGCCACAGTGTGGTTCAGGCTAGGGTGTTCTGGTGGGAATTTTTTGTATTGTTTTGTTTTTGTTTTCGACAATCATCTGCCCCTGGACATCATTACACTGTCGTATTACACAAGCAAATTCCCCACTGCGCAATTAGCATTCTTTCTTTTCGGCAGTGTTTTTATGACGTTATAATCATCCGAATAAAATGTAATTTTTTATCTGTAACAGATAATTCGACCCATGTCTTCGAATAGAAGTGGCGTAAGTCCGGTTTTTGATAAAATTAAAGTTCCCAAATACTACAGAAACAATACTTAACTGGTACCCGGAAAAACTTAAGTTGTACGTACCTAATAAGTTAACCAGGTAACAAAATAAAGTGACCAAGCAGCCCTCGAACAGATCAAGACTAACTCTTTGGTAAAAGACTCCGAAAGTAGATCGTGGCTGACTTTATGCACTTCGTGGACGGCGAAACCATGATAACTAGTGACAACTGTTGAGGTAACTGTCTTCTGGGTTATTGCTCCATGTCGTCTGGTAGAAGTTGACCGACGTTTCAAAGATGTATCCTACTTCCATCATCAGGGCGGTAAACATATCAGACACGACTTAACATCCCAGAAGGCAGTAATATTTATACTGGAAGCCGTGATAACCTTACATGTGACCTACTAACGTTCGTTTCTAATTTAATACACAATGTCTTCTCCACTCCCCCCCTCCTACTGTCTTGGGCCCAAAAGCCATTGTTTCCAGAGCGAAACTGAGGATTCACGTTTTTTCTAGTGGATATGCATGGAGCTATACCTCCACTTCCCTATACTCCGTTCCCCGGTATTTAGATACAGGGACATGTGTATAATATTAAAAAAAAATAGTTTAAACCCCCAAATATTCCAAATATTGGATTCCATTGTACTGTTTATATATGACTTAATAACTGCACCATTAGATAAACTTTGATGTTCAATTGTTTCACATCGTTTGCGAAGGCATTTTGTAAAATAGTGCTATTAGTGTAGTACACTTACAGCATTACCATTGCGAGAAGCACAAGTACAGAACAAAGCCGTTATGTCTCTATTTTCTCTGTTTAAAAGGACGTCGTTTCAATATATAGAACGTCTTGTTGGTGATTAATTATGAATGATAAGACACAAAACGGTCATCGTCCGAGTTTTGCAGGGAAGGTCTGAGTAAAACCTTTAAAACCTTCAAAACAGGTAGACCGTCCCCCGTGCCTAGAATAAAAGCATTTACCTTAGACATAGGATGCATATGTCATCGGGTACTTTCGTTTCTATCAATATATAGAACTCGATATATTAATAATTCTAATATCCTCCTATCTAAACCCCAGTGTTCTAAATGGTTTCTGACTTTCAGATGTTCCAATTAAAATATATTTATTGTTTCGTCATATACTCCACGCATCTAGCATACCCGTCCATTTGATCATCCTTGATTTCAACATTTTGGTACAAATTATGAAGATCTTCATTATGCTACTTTCTCCAGCGTCGCTTTACTTCCTCAGGTCCACTTGCTCTGCCCAACACCTGTTGTCAGTTTTCCCCAACCTGCTTTATTCCCTTAATGTAAGACACTAAGTTTCACACCAAAACAATGCAAATGTTAAAATTACATTTTTGTATATATTAATCTTTGTTACGTTTTTAATCGTAGATACGAAGACATTTTTTTAAGAAAATTGTAGCAGGCATTCTCATACATTAATCCCCTCTTAATATCATCATAAATTAATCTTTGAGCCTATAGGGTCATTCTCTAATTCACTCGGTTCCAACTCGTTGAAGCAGATCACTAGATTATTAACCTTACAAATTAATGCATAGAGAACGGGGTTATGAAGTTGTTCGCAGGCAAAAATTATATAATATACTATGTAGCACAGTATGGGAGGTCTTAAATAGCTCTAAGGAAGGAAAAGAGATAGATAAAAAGTAGGTAGAGATGGAGGGATGAGAAAGACTTTAATCATAAGGATAGAATAATCGTATTACCATTTCGATTACGACGAGACCGCCTTGCAGAATGCGCAGGCTAGAAAGAATAATTGTATAGGGTTATTTCAATATTAGGTAAACCATAAACTATAATATTCAATACATTTTGCCCCGAGGGGATACAAAATGAGTAACGCAAAACATTTTCTGCACTGGTGACTTCTTTCTATGACTTGTGAACACTTCATTGTTAATTTCTTGCATTTGCTTATTGATACATATATTATTTGTATAAATAATATGAAAAGCAAGAAATTCTAGCAGGAACCAAGCTACTCAGAATTACAAACCAAAAGTACCTAATACATTTTATTCCTCTATCATGTAATGTAGTCGGGGCGAATATGTGCGTTCGAGATCCGTTAAAAGTAAGGAGCTAAGGGGATCAGGGTATCAGATAAGGAAGCATGTTCTGTCCGTACCAAAAACATTAGTTACCAGTGGCAGAATTTTGTTTCTCGCTGCCTCAGTCCCTGTGTTGGTAATTTCTTTCGTTTACTTAGTATATGCGTCCGTTTAACTTCTATCCGCAAGCTAGTGACGAAAGCGAAACGCACAGATTCACCCCAACTACAGTAAATATGTCGCGGTGGTTCATTTACAGTTGATAAAACGAAAGTCAAGAGTTTATACGGTTTTTACGTTTGATATACAGTATTTTTAAATGGCACAGTCAGTTGATACGGAACAGCGAACAGGATGCTTTTCAACATCGTCACTGATTTGTAGCAGCTGATTTGAAGAACTCTACGAAATAAAAAGTTAAACCATCCGAATTTCCCCACTGCGGTTTCCTTTAATATACTGCACTAAAATAATTAATAGCATATTTTAATGTGAAGATCTTATTAAATTGCAGCCGAAAATAAGTTACCCAATTCGGATTCAAAATGGTAAAATTATTTATCTCCTGTAACATATTTTTATTGAAAATATTTGCCGTCTTTCCACTTCAAGAGAGACCCATATGAGTTCGTAATTTAAATTTCACAATTACTATTTTAACGCCCATAACAACAAAATTTTAACTCGACATTAAATACGTTTATATTCAACACAATAATCGCTTGACTTTAATTATGCGATTATATATGCTGTCAAAACAGTGCCACCATTTTGATGGTGATAAAACTTGTAAATACCTATTAATTATTAAGAATTAGGTCACTGTACTGGTTACGCAGGGACGAACTGGCGGTATACGCAACGCTTTATGCATTAAAACTTATTTGGTACCGTAGAAACCAACAAACAGGTTTAAATAATGCACCTAGAAAGAAGGATTTAGTTATGTCTAGTTCGTCTAATTCATATCCTTAAATCGCAATACAAAATAGAAAAATCAGACGGTTCTCGAATTAAAGATGGCTGTATTCTGGGATGTTGCGCCGTATAGTCTGCTAGAAATTTACATAATATATTGTTCAGACGTCATATTGGGTATTTAACGACACTTTTAGCTGCAGACGGCATAAGAATAAAATGGGAAGAATGAAGAAACCAGAAACCTTAATTTAAATTTTAATGCTTATTTAAACGAAACCAGATAGCGTCACAATTAAAAATATTAGATAATTGATAATATATCAAGATAGTAAAATTATGATAACACGGTCGTTAAAATTCTCCGATATATAAATCAAAATTTAAAACGTCCCAAATATTAATTTTCATAAACATAATTTCAGCAGAGTTGTCAATGCGCCTATGAATAAAACCCCTGTCCGAAGAAACAGATATATAATAACAGCACTTACACATTTAAAGAGGGGCACATTCTAAATGTTTTTATACCTTTAACACTGCAACATGGCCGCTAGTGAAATAATTATACCTCCAAGGTTGCATTCCACTCGCGCAGACGTCGGGCAAAAATCTTCCCTTACTAGAGTAATTAGGAAGCAGGGTTATAAAAAATAAATAAGAGTAAATACAGAACAAAAGAAGACAAAAAGGATCATCATAAAAAAGGAAGAAAATACCTGACTAAACTTTGCTTCGGTACATATATAAGGCTATAAATCATGTTAAATGGTTGG